AGGTGGATGGTCCACACACCCAGTCTGGGCAACGAATGGTCCCACACTAGCAGCAGCTGCTGGGCCTGGATGGGCTGAGGGTGGGGATGGGACAGAGCTGGGGCTGCTCCCACCCGTAACCCAGCCTGGGGTGGGCACAGTGGGCAGTGCTGGTTGTAGGGCAGTGCTGGCTCTGGGGCAGTGCTGGTTGTAGGGCAGTGCTGGCTCTGGGGCAGTGCTGTCTAGCAAGGTACCTGTGCATGCCCATGAGTATCCCGAACACCGCCCTCTGCCCAGCATGTCTAGCACCACTCACCCACTGAGGGCAGCACCTGGCCCTGGTGCTGCTGCAGGTGAGGAGACACGCTGGGACATCCCCCCCTTCACTAAGACCACCCTGGGGATGGTGCATGTCCAGCTCAGCCTACATGTCCAGCTCAGCCTACAATTCCTGGTGTCAGCTCTGCTCCCGCTCTCATGTGCTGCCCATCCCTCCCACTTGCCCACCCACAAATCCCATGCAATGCCCAGTGCCTTGAGTGCCCACATGGATTTACCTGGGCCTGGTGCCCACACCAAGGGCCCCAGGGAGCTCAGCTGAGCGACCTGGGACTGAGTGAAAAGGAGAAACCCGGTCTAGTGTGTGCACGTCACAGGAAGCAGCAACCGCAGCTGCAGCACCTCAGAGCCCTCACGGCAGCACCGCTGGGAGCAGCCCCAGCGCTGGGACCCGACACCCAGCCCTGGAGCGGGCTGAGGGTGGACCAAAGGGTCTGGCAAGGGCAGCAATTGCCACCCACTGTGCCAGAGGGTCCCCGTGCACCCTGGTGTCCCGAGGCTCCACCATGCAGGGAGGGCTGAGCTGGCCGATGGCTGCTCGGGCCTGACAGCACCCAAATAATGGTGACAGCAGTGGAAGGCAGGTAAGTGGCGTTCACCTCTCGCTAGAGCAGGAACAGAGTCAGGGCAGGGAAGGAGGGGAGCTCAGCCTGGGATGGGTCCGGGTCACACAGAGCTCCAACTGCACCTCTCCATGGTCAAGGAACTGGAACAGGTGTTTTCCACAGCCCCTGAATCCCCCTGGGGACCAGCAGCTTGGGGCATTGGGATAGGTGCCCCAGGCCCTGGGGGACAGGGGGCTGGGGTGGTATGGCAGCATGCAGAGAGTGAGCCTGGCCAGGGGCTGTCCCCCATGAGGCTGCAGATGCCCCGTCCTGGGCAGTCCCCAGACATCCCACCCTCTGTGGTGGTGGGAGGGTGGTTTCCTCGAAGGGCTCCCCCGGGAGCTGCCAGCCAGGCTCAGCCCCAGCCCAAAGCCCTGCCCTGGACCGTGTCGGCATCATTCCATGGAAATGCCCTGCCCAGGACACAGGGCGGGGGATGTGACCCATGAGCCTGAGGCCCTCCATCCCTCCCAGACAGAGCAGCCCAGGGGCTGAACCCCAGGGATGGGGAATCTGCCTGGCCGGGAGAAGCCGCTCAGCATCGCATCAGCATCTGCTGACACCACACAGCCCCCGCTGCCGGCCCAGGCAGGTAAGTGCTGGGCCAACCCCCACCTCGTGCCGGGTCCTCCCGCCCCAGCTGGGGCTGGCACGGGGGGGGAAAACTCTGAGCCCTCTCACCTTCCCTGCAGCCCCCAGCAGTTTCCAGGCCCTGGCCCTCTGTGACTTCCCCTCCGGTGCGGGGATGGCCGCTGTGCTGAGGATGGGGGAGCAGCTCCGCATCCTCTCCGAGTAAGTCTCTGCACCAAGTGAGAGCTGACCAGTGTCCAGCCCGTGGGGCCACACTGGTGGCATCCACCCTGCGGGTCTCCTCCCGCACCCTGCAGCCCCAGCCCCTCAGGCCTGGTCATCCCTCTTCCCTGCAGGGACGGCGAGTGGTGGCTGGTGGTGTCCGAGGTGTCTGGCAAGGAATGCCACGTCCCCAGCAGCTGTGTGGCCAAGATCAGGCACGGGTAAATGCTGGGTGGGGTCTGTCCCAGGGAGGGTCCCGGGGACACGGCCCCACCGCCAGAATGTGGCCAATCCCAAGGCCAATCCCTGGCCACCGCACCAGGACCTCCTGCCCTGTGTCTCCCCCCGGGCGTGGAGCAGTGCTGGGGCTGGGGGAGATGGCCCGGCGTGCTGGAGTGTCCCCAGGACGTGTGCTGCTGCACCCCGGGCTGTGCCTGGGGTCCCTGCCAGCGCCCCTGCCCGCACAGGTGGCTGTACGAGGGCGTCAGTCGGCAGAAGGCGGAGGAGCTGCTGCTCCGTCCAGGCAACCACAGCGGGTCCTTCCTGATACGGGAGAGCCAGACCAGGCGAGGTGAGAGCCCTCGGGCCGGCTCCTGTTCCCCTTCCAGTCCTCCCCCGTGGGCTGCCAAGGAGCAGGGGGAGGGAACCCTTGCTCACACCTCCTGGCAATGGCCCTCCCCACGGGCTGCTCCTCGGTGTTGCTGCTCTCTCCCTTTGTGCTGAGCCCCTGCCACGGGGCCTCAAAAGAACAAACCACCATCGGCTTCCTACAGCTTTGGGTTACGAAGGGAAGTGATAAAGCTCAGCCCACAAAATGAAACAGGGCCCCGCCACACCAAGGGGACCCTGTGAGGGAGGCCGTGCTGGGTGCTGTGGTGCAGATGGCTGAGGCACTAAGGACATCTGATGTCCCAGCCCTCCCCCATCCCCGGGTTGGTTTGGAGGTCCTCACGGCCCGGGGCTGGCACAGGGATGCAGAGCTCCATGAGGAGAAGGGTGACACCACTCGTGTGACGGCAGAGCCCTGCAGGGTGTAAGAGAGCCCAGGCAGGGCGGTGGGGCGGGGT